CCTTTCCAAGTTCCAGAAAGAAGCCCTTCGCCTGCGATCACGCACCGAGGAGTGTCTCAGGCGAGCCGAGCAAGCAGAGCGGCCAAGTGGAAACCTTGAGATCAAATGGGAAGCGCTGGTGGATTCAATGGAGCGAGCCGTAACCTTCTACGACGAAAGCTCAAGCAAACCCAGCACCCCGGCGCCAGAAACGTCAGCTAGTACTACACCGGCCCCCAATAACCATCGTAATTCGACTGGCTACTTTGGTACACGTCCTGCAATGCCGCGCCGGTCCACTGAGCACGTTCCCGATGCCGAGGATGACACGCCTCCAAGCTCGTCATCGGCGACCTGGGACCAAAGCCGAATTCCATTTGCCATCCCACGTTGGTCTGATCCACGCGACAGCACCGGAAGCTCGAAGAACTCCTCGACGTACTCGCTCGAGGTCTCGGAGTCCTCGAAAGCGCGCAGGGCCAGCGTCACGAAAGAGTCCTCGAGCAAGTACCGCTTCTTCGACTTTGTCCCTGCTCCCTCCCGACGCAAGGCCAAGGAACGTGACCAGGCTCAAAACCACTCGCACGAGGATCTACGCAATGAATCTTAATGCACCAATGTCCATGCAATCTCCTTTCATCCTTACACATTTTTGACTTTGTTCTTTCTCGTCTACCTCTTTCCCATGTGCTCATGATTTCAACGTTCCTCTTTTCTCCCCTTCTCTCCCTCTACTCCCCTTTTTCTATCTTGCCTCCTCGAGTTCCGTTCTGCTTGATCATCCATATGTCTATGTTATCCTCTAAAGCATGTGTCATGGTGTTGATACCCATTCCTTCTTTTGATTGTGTGTTTCATGGTCCCGCCCTCCCCTATACACATCTTCCCCCAGCCCAGCTCTTAAGACAAAAACAAAGAGAGCTAAAAATAAGGATCTGGATTTTTGGGAAGCAAAAAAGAACATGATCTGATTTTTGAACTTGGCTGAGGCTCTTGTGCTTTTCTCTTTTTGGTCGTTCTGAGGAATCATTTGGGTCTTTCTCTTGTGTGTTTGGATTTCCTTTTGGAGATGGTGGCCATCGTGTAAATACCTTTTACTCTTTTTATATTCTTCCAATAGATGGAATGGATTGGTGTTTTCCTTTTTGAAAGTTGTGACTCTGTTAGATAGAAATACAAACATCAAATGCTGTTCGTTGAATACATCTGTACATTGGATCAGAACAAATATCAGGTGTCGCCTTGGGTGATAACAAGACAGCAAGTGTTAAGCATAACCCTAGGCCACACCCATACAGCACCGGGTCTTCGATGGAAGATAGAAACACATAGCAACACAATGAGCAAGTTAGTTTTAAAGCCACATGTTCGAAGAAACAACACACAGAAGATGAGTGAAAAATACACATCACTTCCACAAACAGAGCTTTCCACTAGCAGTGCCACCAGCAACCCAGTTCTTACTCCGGTGGAACACAGCCACGGCAGGAACAGCAGTGATTCCATCGCCGCCAAGCTGAGCGAGCTGGTCGCCATTGCTGCTGTAAACATCAACGAAACGGTTCATGTTTCCTATGCAGAACCGCTGGATGGGGGATTGGGGGTTGAGTTGCCACTGAGGGCGGAGACTATAAGAGGAAAGTTAGGGCTTGATACTTTGGCAAAACCAACAAGGACGCAAAGTAAAGGAGAAATCATACATTGTCACCCAGCGGCCAGTCTGGCAGTTGTGGCGGACAACAGTGTCGGGAGTGAATTCCTTTTCTGAAAGCTTGTGGCCCTGCTTCCACGTAGAGAGGCCCTTTGCGCCCACGTCGTAGATTTTCAACGTGTCGTCGTAGGACGATGTAGCAATCTGCCCAGCGGCATTGAAAGCTGCGTGGGAAACCGAGAGCCGGCTTTCATGCTCAGCAACAGGAGTTCGACTGTGCGGCGAAAGCTTGCGCAGATCCCATAATCTCAGGAACCGATCCAAACTTGCCGTGGCGAAGTAATGGGGCTGGGAGGGACATAGTGTGAAGCCCCCGATCTTCTTGTCTGACAGGTCCCACTTTGACACGTTGCTATCTTTGCGCGGTTCTCGCGTGTCGTACCGCCCGAATCCACCTTGGAGTGTAGTCCAGTACAAAGTGTTAGGGTCATCGGGGGCCATATCGACTCCGGAGATTGCTTCATCTATGTTGGTTGATTCAGGAGCATAGCTCTCTGAAGAGACCATTTTCTCTAAGTCCAGTGCTCGAATCGAGCTGTCGTAACTTGCTGTGTACAAATGCGTCGGCTTTGATGGGTTGATCATCATTGCGCTGATCGTTCGGGTGTGTGGCTTGAGTGTTGTGAGGATTGGATCGGGGTCATCCTCATCTTCATCGTCGTCCTCGCCTGCCGCGGGCTTCTCCTGTGAGGCATCCAGCATGCCCAGGTGACCCATTTTGTCTCCCGCGAATATAAGAGGTTTGGATTCGGATGGATGGAAGGCCATGCTATACACACGCTCGGGGGTGATCTTGATCCCTGCGATAATCGGAAATGCGTCAGAATGGTAGAATTTTCATAGAAAGCTAAGATACTTACGCTGCGGATCCCAAGAATCCCACAATTGAAGTCCATTCATCTCCTCACGAAGGGTCTTCAGCTCCTTGTCTGTTGTTTTTTCGACATCATCGTCCCCAAATGTCCTTTCATAGGGCATTGCAACACCCTTAGTGATGACATCGACTCCGATCAGGCTATCGGGACTGAGCTTTTGGCCCGAAACAAACATATCTGCTTGACTGAACGAGTCTGTCCGGCGCATTCTTTTGAGTCTGTCCGCTTCGCGCATTGCCTCATACTCATCGTCTGCCTTGCGCTTCGCTACTTCACTTTCGGCTGCGATACCCTTGAGGCGCGAGGATGTCCGCCGGGGCGTTGTATCCTCCTCGGTTTTCACTTTAGGAGCTGCGCGCTTTTTCGGCTTTGCGCCATTGCTGCCCGGAGTCTTAGGGCTTGCGAAGAGGCCCGAGGATTGCGATTCGAGTGTGAGTTTCTTCAATAGCGCATCACGCTCGGCAATGTTTGCCAAACGCTGCTGTTCGAATTCCGATAGCTCACTTTTCCCTGCCATGTTGTTTTCGGTGGCTTCGGGCGAACTTTCATATGCAGTTTGCGCCTCGGGGGTGCGAGGCACGTCCTCGGGAAAACGCGTAGACCCGTTACACGACATCATGTGACTTTGCGGGAAGTTGATGGCCGATTAGTCCGTTCCTCAAAGAAAAAAAGAAAGCAATCTTCTTGTTTCTCTTTTTTGGATTTGAAGTTGCAAACGTTGAAGAAGTGGAAGAGAAGAGTAGGATTTACTCCAGGTTGGATTTACTCTGAGAAGTGCATGAACAAGTGCAGACCTAACGACTCAGCAATGGCGACAAATATCAACCGGCTGTGCTTCCTCTCAAGAAGCAACTCTACGGCTCCTTTCTTATATCACACTCGAACACTCACACCTATCTCATCCGCGGCCCGAAAACAATTCAATCGTCGCTTTCCGCGCTCTTTTTCTACCCAGGTCAACACCGAGGCAAATGATGCAACGGAGAACAAACCACTAGCGGAGGATAACACAAGTCAGAATATTTCTGAAGAGTCAATTACCTCCAGCTCGACGAGTGAGGCAGCTCCCAAGCCGCGACGAAGCTATCTGCAGAAAAAAGCAGCATCTGTCTCTGCAAGGCCTAGCCTCAGACCATCTGTGGTCAAGAAGACAACGAAAATAGCACCGAAGATCACAAGTCAGGAGAAATTGGTATTCGGAGGGCTCTTGGAGCAGCTTGGACTCAAACACGATGGAGAAACTACCGAGCCGAGCTCATTGAAACCACTGAGCGAGGAGAAGAAGGCTGAACTGGCCGAGCTAGCGTCGGTGTTTGATGGTCTGCTAAAGGACCCAAGGCAAAAGAGGGCGAATATGAAAGCTAAGCAGCAAGCGAGGGACGACTATTCTTCCTACCGAAGTCCAGAGAAGTCGGAAACGGAAGAACAGGTCCCAGCAGAGAATCAAGGTCCAAAGCGAATCTATCTCCGTGAGCTGGGTTATACCGAGCCCGCCACGGCGAGCGCTGCCGAAGTAACCGTCAGCTTGCGGAGGGCGATTGAGATCGTCGTCAAAGCGGAATCAGAGCACATTGAATTCGCACTTTTCCAAGCCGTCGAGGACGGCAAGGGCGACTTGGGTGTATGGGAGGTATGCAAAGAGCGCATCTTCTCCATGCTGCGCCACCTAGACGAGAAATCTCTTGTGGAGGCTTCAGACCCGGAAAGTCTGAGCACAGCAGATCAGCCCGAACCATCCACTCGGCCATCAGGACCCCTCCGAGTCCCGGCCGTCGTCCCGGTCTCCCCCGTCGTGGTAGCTCTATACCCGAAGACCCTCCTAATCGCCTTCCGCTTGCTGAACACCCATTTCCGCGACTCCCCGCTCATCCCCCAGTTCCGCTCGACCATCAAGGAGTACGGCCGTGTCTCTACTTTCCTCGGTGCTTCATCTGGCCTGTACGATGAGTTGATCCACTACCACTGGCGAGTATGCAAGGACCTTCCCACTGTGGTATCGATCCTGCGCGAGATGAACCAGCTGGGCATCAACCCGAGCAGCAAGTCCCGCGGCATGCTGACCGGACTTATCATTCGCCATGCCCGGGACTTGGAGGCAAATCGGAAATCCCCGAGCGAGAAAGATTTCTTCTGGGATTTGCCATCCAACAAGGAGTCATTCGATGAGCTTACCCGTAAGGATGGGTGGATGGATCAGATCGAGGCGCGTGCCGAGGAAGAGGCGAGGCAACGTCAGGCTACTCGGACTTTCCACCACTAGGCTCTTGTGCTCTTTTGGACAGGTTGTCTGAATGTACAATCTGAACTATTATGTAAAGTATGTAATATCACTAGCGAAGCCATATCGAAATTCATGTTAATACTATGTACACAAACAATTGTATCGAGCCAAAAAAGAACAGCAAAAGAAATAAAAGTACATCCACCAGACCTCTCTACAAACCCCCATGGATCCCCCAAAACCTTTCTGCATTGAAAGTGAACCTATTATCATCTTTCCACAAATCATCAAAAGCAGTAAAAAGCACCAAATCCTCCCTCCGGTGATCAAAACTCTTCCTCAAACTCGCGACAGCCAGCCGCTGATTCTCCGCAGAAGGGATAGCACCCCCATTTGAATCCCCACCATGCGGCCACCCCGACTCGGTGATCATAGTCCGCTTCCCGCCAGCCCGAGCAGATATACTACGCGCCTGCGCGAGCGCATACGGACCAGCACCAGCAGGCCGCTGGGTACGATCGAAGAAAGCATGGCAGTTTGCAGCACAGTAGTCGGAGACTTGGCAGAGTTCCGGGTGGTCGAGCAGGACGGAGAAGGTATCGACTGTGACGACCGGGCCATTATAGCCCTGTGCGCGGAGCACAGAACGTGCCTTTTTCACAGCGGCCGCGACGTCGCCGGGGGAGTTGGTGCCGGCATTTACAAGCTCATTGCCAATGGAGATGGTGTGGAAGATGGACCAGTCCTTTTTGCCATCTGGGCCTGTTACGGCGTCGCCGAAGGCGCTCAGGCTTCCTGGAAAATCGGTTAGGTCGTAGACGCCGGCGAAAACGCGCATGTTGTGTCGTCGGGCGGCCTTGGATACTATTCTTGTTTGGTCGCAGTCTGTGCCATATATGCGGACGAAGGAATATTCGGGAATTCTGTCTAGGTCTTGGTTTACTTCTTCCTGGGTCTTGCAGGTGCGGTCTGCTTTGTAGGGGGAGTAAGAGATGCCGAATTGGGCATGTGGGTGCTGGGGAGGGGGATAAGGAACGGGCGGCTCGTAGAAGTTAGGGAGTTTTAGCTTGTTCTGCTTGGCTGGGGCTGGGATAGAGCGGTCGTTCACGTCGTCGTTATTCTTGGATACTTCAGGCGGCGGCGGTGCCCCAGCGGAGCTATCTGTGTCCGGGATTGATATTGGGGGTTGCTTTGATGGGAGAGTTAGGCCGGTTTGTCGATGAGGGACCAACATATCTTCTCGTCATCGAGAATAGTTTTATCTACTAACATTTTCTTGTGGGGAGGTCAAGGCCTGAACGTAGTGTGTTTCCGTACTGATGGGCTCTCCCTTTTCATTGACCCAGACAACTACCTCTTTGGTAAAGGGTGGCTGGGCGACATCTCCACGGGATTGTTTCTCGACTATCGCCAATCAGCAAAATCCGATATAAGCATGAGGTTATTTGAACGATGATGCTCTTACCCCGAGCTTCGGCGCAGACACCATAAGCAAATAGCAGGCCGACAAGGGCCTGAGTAAGGCGCTTCATTTTCCACCTCAGTTCGCCCTGGGGAAGCTAATCTGTAAATCGAGTGAAATGACCTGAGCTTAGTCGGCGATCATAACAAGAGTGACTTTCCAATCATCTAGAACGGGAAACCCATGCATATGGTGCCGATCGGACCCATTATATCCATGCGAGCAGGCTCCACGTATTTCTATCTGCTTGGACTTGATTAGCAGAGCGTGTAAACACAAGGATAGCCAAGCATAGCACCTCGATCTGGGAAGGACATGTGGAATGGAATCCGCATGCCCCCTGGCTTGGTTGAGGCCCTTTGACATCTGATTTGCTCGGCAAAGAGATCTGGTTACCGGGCATCATACGAGATCTCGAAGTCAGATGGATCGAGAATGCTCCCAATGATGGAGTTGATGGAATGCGGGCCCATTCTTGAAGGTCGCTTGGAGACGCAGGGGAATCCGGTGAATGTGAGGCAGAATGCTGATAGACTATCTGATATTATTGAGAGACATTGAAAGAGGAACGAAGGGGCAGTTTTAGGGTTTGGGTCTGGCCCTAAGATATTGGGCTTCTCGTCTTATGGAGAGTTCCAAACCCAGTGAACGGCAAACGGACATTTTGAATGGTCCTGCTTACTCCAGGGCTTAATATCTGGCTGACAATTCAAACTTATAACAGTAGAATCTACTATGGCAAGAGGGGCGAAGAAAAGAATCCGATCAAGTAATACCATCCATTCCATGGGACAAAGGGGTTTTCGGGTCTGAATAATGAATGCAAAAATAGACATGTCCTTGAAGCAAAGAGCCAAGGGGAGAAGGATAATATTAAACAACTTAAAACCATGCACAGGCAGAGAATCATACCGCCAGCGAAGAGAGAAAAGGGCGGACCTGTGCAAGGCATGCAATAAGAATGTATATCGACAAGGTAACAATACAAGGATTGAAGGGGCATTAGGACGTAGGTCGACTGAAGAGAATAGAAAAGCGATAGATGCCGAAGTCATATGGGCGTGAGCAGTCATCGGATGTCTGGTCAGGACCAGAAGCTAAGAGGTAAGGGAAGGCATTACTTCCTCTTGCTCATCACCTTGGTAATGGCATGTCGGATGATTGTTCCTGCCTTTTCAATCTCTTTCTTGGTGAGACCGGTAGTGACGCACACCTTCAGGGCTGGCGGGACAATCTGCTTGGGCTCGAAGTTGTCCTCGAGAGTCTTCAGCCGCGTAATGAGAACACCATTGGCAAGAGACTGCGAGAACATTAGAGATGGACTTGGAAGAGGATTAGAACGGAAGAAAATGTAATACATACCTCATCGACGGCATCTTGAAGTAAGAACTGCTGGTCGTTGGCTGTAAGCCGCTTAGCAGCCACAACCTCGGGCTTGATGACCAGGATGAGAATAGGGTTCTCAGGCGAGCTGGTGCAGTAAACCCAGTCACTCCGGGGATCTAACTGAGCCCGCATGGCCTTGGTGAGTTCCCGAAGTTGTGTCACTGTCTCGGGGTTGTTCTGGAGGATGTTGATGGTGGCACTGGCAGTAGTCGAGAGCAGAGCGGGAAGCGCGGCGGAGAAGGTATAGGCAGCGGCCGAAATACGCTGGTGGTGAACAATCTCCTCTGAACCAGCACAGAAGCCACCACCAGCAACGAGAGGACCGGCCAGTGACCCCACGATCATATCAACCTCGGCAGCATCGACGTTCTGGTGCTCCGTGATACCACGGCCAGTGCGTCCCAAAACACCGAAAGACCAGGTCTCATCAAGGATCAGACGGAACTTGTACTTGAGTCTGAGTTCGATCTGCGATAGTTGTAAGCACTGCAAATTCATGGTTCAAGTTTAACGGGTCACATACTATCTTGGGCAAGTCCGCCATGTCGCCATAAGACTCAAACAGACCCTCCGTGATAATAAATCTGCGAGTCAAAGGCTTCCGGGCTTGCTCCTTGGTGACCTTCGCGAGCACGCGCTCCAGATCCTCCATGTCATTATGCTCATACCACCGGACAATGCTTCGAGAGATCTGAATACCCTTGCGAATCGCAAAGCTAACCCCCTTATCCGCGACGATAATGTCACCCCGCTTCGAGAAAGCAGGAATAACACTGGAAATGGTCGAGAAGGCCTGGGAGTAGATGATGCAAGCTGTGGTTCCCAGGAACGCTGCCACGTCATCTTCTGTCTTCATGTGAACATCCTGTGTGCCGTAGAACCCACGGGGTCCGCAGGGACCAACTCCATAAGCGCGGAGTGTCTGGATTGCCTGTTCCTTGAGGGACTCATTCGTATTGAAATTGTAGAAGTTGAAGGAGCCGAGGTTCATAACGGTGCGGCCGTTGGCCAGTTTCGATTTTGGGCCTACAGGGCTGCAGATCCCAATTTCATCTGTCAGTAAAATGTCCGCAAAGTGCGCCAGGCAGAAGCAATAGGAACGGGGGGTACGATACCCAACAATCACGGTTCGCTTATCAACTTCCATCTCTTCCAAGGTTGTCGGGTTCCCAACGAGGGGTTCAGGGGTCCATTCATCCACGAGATCATCAATCTCATCTTCTGTGAGTGGTACAACGCCCGGTTTGGTCGAATACTTGGGCGCTAGCAAATATCGCACGGCGAAAAGGAAGAGGAATAATTCGACAGCAGAACGAATTGGATCATCTTGATAGCTTGATTTCACGTAGCGGAGGAAGATTGCGGAGCCAGGCACACGGTGAAATAGATCCGCGAGTTCGTGCAGATATTCGGTAAGAATACGCTGGGTCTCCTGGAGATCCATGGCGGAGGGTTAAAGAGAGAGTGGTGTGGTGCACCAGGCCAGCGGGATACGCGGAATGCAATAGGTCAAAAGGAGGCGCGAAAGACGGGTGCTGACTCGTAGAAGTTGGGGTGAAGATGAAACGGGAGGCTCGGAGTCCTGGGGACCTCCGTGCCACGTGACCTATAGAATTACATGTGCTTGGGACAATCTGATTTTGAAATTAGGGATTACGACATGAATTATAAGAATTTCGCGAAAGCAATGCAATTTAATCCCGGTAGAAGTGTAAATAAAACAAGCAAAGAAAGCTGGAAAAACGAAGGTAAACCCCCGAGGATGGCTTGGAAGACCCCTTCATACAAGCGTCATGCCACAAACAATATTTGGAAGCAACCATTCATTAAGATCAAATTGTGCGCCGATGAGTTCAGAAAGATGCAGCGAATTTTAATAAACGCATAACTTTGTACAAAGCATTCCCATGTCGTTTCGCCACATTAGATGGACCACTTGCCGTTGCCTGCTGAGGGCGTCGGGGCAGCGCTTGAGCTGTAGGCCTTCCCGGGAAGGTTATTGCCGGTGTACCAGGAGACAGTGTCATTGAGTCCGTGATCAAGTGGCTGGAGGAGGCCAATCGCGTCTTCTTTGGAGACACCGAGTGAGTCCCAGAGGCCGCCCGACAGAACGCTATTCAATGACCCCGTATTACGCAGGACGACAGGCGCAGCGATAATCACGATGAAGATGAGGAGCATGGTAAAGTAGAGAATGGCGAAGCGCACAACGCGTCTCTTGCGAAGCTTGGACTGCTTGAGAGAATAGATGGGAGGGCGAATTTGAGAGCTAGAAGGAGGTCCGGTTAGTACTATAGGTATTGAGAGACCGGGATAAAAAGATACGTACCTTGGGCGCAGCCAAAACAGGATGACCGAATGGAAGGTGTCCACATATGGAATGGCGAGAGCCGGGAGCATGGCAAACAGGAGAATATGGCCGAGGAAGAAATCGTTGGCGAAATAACCGAGTTCGGTGATCTTGCACAGGAATTCACGTCCAGGCTGAGAGAGGGAGTGCCAACCCATGCCGTACCATTTGCCAGTCCACCATGCAATATTAGATTGATCGTTCTTGAATTCACGAGTCAATGCAAGGGAGATGATAACCTTGTAGATGAAGCGCTGGAGAGCCATCGCAGCGATCATTCCAGAGATGGTGCGGGGCCAGCTGAGGGATTCAAGGAAGAACATGGCCAGGAATAGGAGCAGGAACACAATCACGGCGATGGCATGGGCAATAGCTGCGAGAACGGCACCGAACTTCTTGCAACACATGCCAAAGACTGGGCCCATACAGCAGGCCATGCCGAAGAACATGCCTGCGACACCGGCATTGACACCTACGGGAGCGAAACCGACAATCGCAACGCGAAGAATAGGATTCGCAGCCCACTTGACATCATCGGAGTACATTGTCCGGGAGTTGATATAGAGGTACGGGATCAGTGTGGCAGCAACGCCGAGTAGAGGCGAAATGATTTCGCTGAAGAAGATGTTGGTGATGTGCGCTCTGGGAATATCACCCGAGCCTTTCTCCGATGGAACACCAAGGACTTTGCGCTTGTAACCAGTGATGCGAGTACGCGAAAGGCGACAGAAGCCGATCCAGGAGGAAGCATGGGATCGGGAGTTACCGCGAGAAAGCCAGCGGATGTAGTCACGGTAATCGATAAAGAAGTCGGTCCAGGCAAACTGGTGTGGGTTGAACAGGAAAGGCGAGATGCAGAGGGCGAGTAGAGAAACCCAGAACCAGATCAAAGCGGGAGTCCAGACCGTCGTGGTACTGAACAACAACATCAGCAGCAGGCGAGCCCCCAAGTAAATTGAGGGACCAGCAAATCGCGAGTAGAGGACACCGAATGGGATGCGGGCAGTTGCGAAACCACGACCCGTACCAATGTATCGCGCACCTCCGAAAGACAAGTTCTGATGCACGGCGTTGGCATAGATCTGACAGACGAACACCTCGAACATGAACGAAAGTGAACCGAAGTGCTTGGCCAGACGAGTAGCCATACGCCACACTCCCCTCTCGGTCAACTCTTGGACGGCAAGAGGAACGAATGAGATGAAGAACACGATGAAAATTGAGATAACACAGCGATTGACCCAGTTAAGGATGGGGATCAGGTTGGCGCAAAGAGTGGGCGCAAGTGGATCGGTGATAGGCAAGTCCGAGTTGTAACGGCACATGATGGTCTCATGCTTCAGGGCACCAAGGTTGATTAGGACAAACATGAACATTTGCACAGAAAGCATAATGAACATATTGTTCAAATGGAAACCAGGGTGAGCATAGTAGAATGAGAGGAAGCGATCGAGGGGAAGTTGAGTACCGAGATAGTAGTACTCTCGGGATAGCATCTGTTCACCCATACCAGTGCCAATCTTCGTAGTGAAGTTGAGAATGGATCCGAAACCGAGATCACGACCCTTACCACACTGATAGTATTCACAATGCTTGATGCGACCTCCGCGGAGAACGGCATTCATACCAGCGTAAATATCCTCGTTCAGGTGCAATCCTTTCTGGGCTTTGGAAACACCGCCACGGGTGGTCATGAAAGTGCCGTTCAAGAAATCGGGATGACCATAATGCAGCTTGCCACCGACTTGGGCAAGTGTACGAGCGAAGAGGGTACCGAACGTTTGTTCCTTAGACGCGGCAACATCACCGAGCATACCGACGCTCTCAGAGAAAATGTATTCGCGGGCTCCCAGGATGGCAACAGGGTTCTCCTCAGGCGAGGCAATTCCAGGGGTGTACGGAGAAACATTGTCGGTGGTCAATTCCTCAAACTCGGCCAGCACACTGCGAATCTTCAAACATTCTTCAAGGTAGTTGTCTTGATTAGCGTCAATGAGCTGGATGTATTCACCACGGTAGAAGATGATGGCATGGTTCTGGTTGTCGGACTTTCCGTCTCCGAGAATGGGGTTTCCAGAAAGCTGAATTCTGAACTTGGGCTTGCGCATGTTGTTCTCGAGAAGTTCACAGTGGCCATCGATCAAGGCTGAGTACAGACGAGGTTCTTCGCCTTCATTGACAGGCGGCTCCTCATCCAGGTATGCAATCTGCAGGTCGGGGTAAGCCCGGAGCAAGAATTCGGTGTTCTCACGTTCGTCCTTGCTGAACTTGGCGTAGCGCTGCATGGAGACACAGATGCGGAACTTGCGGCGAGCCATGCGCTCAAGCTCGCGCTCAAGCTTCTCCGAGTTGCCACCAAACATCTGGACAACCTCGGGGTTCTCGACGCGGTAGAGCAGCTTGATAGCACGGCTGTAGTTCATGAAACCAGACACAGTTCTGTACAAGGTCTGAGATCGGAGGGAAGCCCAGATTCTTGTGCGGAGGGTGTATTCGGGAGCAGCAGACTTGAAACCGATGCAGTAGAAAGGAAGATCATCCACCTTGCTCTTGGCGGCATCTTTCTCGGGCTTTTCGTAATCGCCATTAAACTGCGAAGTCTCGTCGGCTAGAATCTTGGTGTCCTTGACGAAGCAATCCCACTCGTGAGGGTGCAGTTGCTTGAGGTATTCGAGCAGGGTCACACGGGAGTAAGGCTCATCTTCACGGATAATCTCACGGAGCGATAGGAGGATCTTTTCACTGTAGTGAGGGATCAGGACGGTGAAGGTGGGCATGTTGTCAACGGGGAGAGGCTCAGGCATAGGCGTGGAGAGCGATTGCGCGAAGAACGAGATACGGCGCTCCGCTTCACTTCCCTGGGGGAAGAACTCAGTCTTGAAAGATTGATCTTCCTGCGACACGAAGAAGGTCGGGGCGCGAAGAGTGCGCTTGCCTTCCTGCTCAGAGGGAACCTGGTGGTACAACAACTTCTGCACATGGTCGATGGCCAGAAGGTGCTCACGGTACATGGAAATAATGATAGCATTCCAAACCTGGGAGATCAAAACCTTAGGCTTGTATTTGATCTCCATATCGGTAGTGGCGAGCACCTTGGAGTAGATACGCTTGGGTAGTCGGGAGAAGATGTTCCTCCAGGGTGACCAAATTGACACACCCAAGTAGAATGAACGCGCCACAGAGAAGATGGTGTTACAAATAATGTACCACAGATAACTGTCCAGGAAGAAGAGTGTCAAGTCCATGAACGCCATCAGGCCCAGCAAGATCTGAGGCTGTCGGTGGCAGAGTGCGTTGCCAATGTATTTCGCGCCAGTGCACTGATGGATCTGCATTGGAGACAGGATTCGGATGGGATCCTTGAAAGATAGCGTCAAGAAGAAGTAAGATTCCGCCAACTTGGCACCGAACACACAAACCCATAGGCCATATGACATCCACATGTCGTTACCTGAAAGACGAGGGAAACTAGCCGTGAAGGTCTGACTGGCAACATATTGTCGTCCACCTTTCTTCATGTAGTTGCCGAACAGCGCACCCAGCGGCCGGATGGCGAAGAAAGCAGCTGTAAGAATTGCAAGAACAAAGTGGACAATACCCAGAGCGAGGCCAATGCCATCTATGGTCTTGGTTGACAGCGACTTCATCGTGGGCAAGATGCTGAAGATCACGATGCCAGGTGCCAGGTTGATTATGAAAACGACAATGAGGAAGATGAAGCGCTTTCGTAGGTGCTGCGCTCCAGCCCAACGTCGGGGAACGTACATCCATTCACAAATGGTGGCTAGAATCTGAATGAAGGAGACCAGAGCACCACCGAAACCGACGGCGGCGAGATATTTGGGCGTGCTTGGCTTGTTGTCAAGCTGCTGTTGGTAGTTGATAGTATACAAGGTCGGAGCGTTGTAAGCAGTGAAGAACCAGAAGGCACCCAGGTGGATAACCCAGATACGGTTGAAGTTCGTGATCATATGGAACCAGGAGCGAGTTTCCATGTAAGTCTTGAAGAAGGCCTTCTTCCAGACCACATCCTTCAGCTTGGGCCATCTTTCGGCGATAGGAATATCGACCAGGCGTGTCTTGTCCTCAAAGCT